AATATTTTGAAATCAATGATGCTGGTAACTTTCACCTCAAGGTCCTTTTTTTTTTTATAGGACGTGCAGACTTGCGTTTAGTCGTTGACTAGTCTCTNTGTGATTGATCATTAATTATTTGAACGAATTGTAACTTCTCTTTTACAAATTATAAGTTTTATGATCGATTAAAATATTTTGAAATCAATGATGCTGATAACTTTCACCTCAAGGTCCTTTTTTTTTTTATAGGACGTGCAGACTTGCGTTTAGTCGTTGACTAGTCTTTCGAGCTCAACGACTAACAATTGTGGCTTAAGCTGATATAAAACATCTCTTTAAAGAATAAAGGTGATTATCTCTTATGTGGTGTAAAAAAAAATTGAACCTAAATATTTGGGTTATCAAATAATGTCTAACCACCAGAGATTCCTAATATGTGGTTTGGCATGATTGTTACTTTCTTTTCGAAAATAAGAAAATTGCATGACTTGTGTTTAGTGAATAGAGACATATTTATGTCGCNTATAAAACATCTCTTTAAAGAATAAAGGTGATTATCTCTTATGTGGTGTAAAAAAAGATTGAACCTAAATATTTGGGTTATCAAATAATGTCTAACCACCAGAGATTCTTAATACGTGATTTGGTATGATTGTTACTTTCTTTTCGAAAATAAGAAAATTGCATGACTTGTGTTTAGTGAACAGAGACATATTTATGTCACTCAAATTAATAACTTTGCTTAGAATTAAAGGTAAAATCTAAAATATGAACCACGGCAAAGTCCTGAACCACGATGGTTACTTTCCGCTCAGGTCTAAACCGTGAATCAAAATGCCAAGTAGTCTAAATCTGATTAATCAGCCCCTCGTGGCTTGAGAGTGGTAGAAAAAGAAAGTGCAAGGAAAGAGGGAATTGGCANTTGTTCCGTCCAAGGAGTCTTTTGAGTTTAAATAAGATAAAAAATTATCGTTATAAATTAGATATAAGATCTGAGTCTCCTTTAATTTAGGTTTAGAATAAGTTTTACATTAATTTGTTATAAGTTTAGATATAAAATTGGAGAAATTTTTTGAATCATCTTAACTCAAATTTAAATTTGAATTTAAATTTAAATTAGAGTTTAGGATGTTGTTAATTAGTAGTATAGACATATAAGTAGCTCCGTATATATAATCTTGTTCGTGATAAATTAATTAATTCAAACTTGAGGGGCACGCTGATGGTGATGTAATACGACCCATTCCATGTATGTATGACATGTGGCATTTAATTTCATTTATGTTTTCCTTTACCCAAGCATATCATTGACTAGAAAAATGACCTTAGGATCCGTAGATTAGCACATTTGACCAATTGCATAAAGTCAACAACTATGGTGATTGGTTGATATGATGACATATGTCAATTTTTTAGAAAGGGGGAACATGGGGAGTTGCATTGGATGATGCCGTGTTCTGGTCTCATAGACTTGCTCTACAAGTATTTCGTGGGTCCACTTTCCAGAAGAGTATTTCGTGGGCCCTGATCAGATGAAAAGTATTTCTTGGGCACCAGGTTATTGGTTTTTCACCGGTAATAACAGGTTGTGGGTTCGGCGGCTGAGGTTGCTTTGGGTGCGGCTCCCACATGGACTTTTTCATAAGGCCAATTTAGACTAGTGTGAACACTTTTGATGAGACCATACAATTCTTTTTTTTTTTCTTTTCTTTTTTGGATTTTGGTGAGACAACAATTTTGACTTCCTAAAAAAACAAAACCAATAATGAAAAATTTGAGCCACGACGTGCCTTTAATGGACCCTCTTTATTTTTAGAATTCAACTCAATTCATGAGTAATCTTATATACTCGAGTACGTGTTAAAAAATTATTATGGGTACTAAAGTTTAGGGTGATTATATATTACCAAATTTTATATTTTTTGGTATTATACTAAAAGTAATTGATTAAAATAATTTATAATTGATCATGAAATGTTGTGATTGATCATTAATTATTTGAACGAATTGTAACTTCTCTTTTACAAATTATAAGTTTTATGATCGATTAAAATATTTTGAAATCAATGATGCTGATAACTTTCACCTCAAGGTCCTTTTTTTTTTTATAGGACGTGCAGACTTGCGTTTAGTCGTTGACTAGTCTTTCGAGCTCAACGACTAACAATTGTGGCTTAAGCTGATATAAAACATCTCTTTAAAGAATAAAGGTGATTATCTCTTATGTGGTGTAAAAAAAAATTGAACCTAAATATTTGGGTTATCAAATAATGTCTAACCACCAGAGATTCCTAATATGTGGTTTGGCATGATTGTTACTTTCTTTTCGAAAATAAGAAAATTGCATGACTTGTGTTTAGTGAATAGAGACATATTTATGTCGCTCAAATTAATAACTTTGCTTAGAATTAAAGGTAAAATCTAAAATATGAACCACGGCAAAGTCCTGAACCACGATGGTTACTTTCCGCTCAGGTCTAAACCGTGAATCAAAATGCCAAGTAGTCTAAGTCTGATTAATCAGCCCCTCGTGGTTTGAGATTGGTAGAAAAAGAAAGTGCAAGGAAAGAGGGAATTGGAAACACATAAAAGTCAAACCAGGAGTCAGGAGATCGTGCAACGAAGACCAATTCCGAGTGAGTCACCTTCCCATACATGAAAGACTGACCGGNAGGATGTTGTTAATTAGTAGTATAGACATATAAGTAGCTCCGTATATATAATCTTGTTCGTGATAAATTAATTAATTCAAACTTGAGGGGCACGCTGATGGTGATGTAATACGACCCATTCCATGTACGTATGATATGTGGCATTTAGTTTCATTTATGTTTTCCTTTACCCAAGCATATCATTGACTAGAAAAATGTCCTTAGGATCCGTAGATTAGCACATTTGACCAATTGCATAAAGTCAACAACTATGGTGATTGGTTGACATGACATATGTCAATTTTTTAGAAAGGGGGAACATGGGGAGTTGCATTGGATGATGCCGTGTTCTGGTCTGATAGACTTGCTCTACAAGTATTTCGTGGGCCCACTTTCCAGAAGAGTATTTCGTGGGCCCTGATCAGATGAAAAGTATTTCTTGGGCACCAGGTTATTGGTTTTTCACCGGTAATAACAGGTTGTGGGTTCGGCGGCTGAGGTTGCTTTGGGTGCGGCTCCCACATGGACTTTTTCATAAGGCCAATTTAGACTAGTGTGAACACTTTTGATGAGACCATACAATTTCTTTTTTTTTTCTTTTCTTTTTTGGATTTTGGTGAGACAACAATTTTGACTTCCTAAAAAAACAAAACCAATAATGAAAAATTTGAGCCACGACGTGCCTTTAATGGACCCTCTTTATTTTTAGAATTCAACTCAATTCATGAGTAATCTTATATACTCGAGTACGTGTTAAAAAATTATTATGGGTACTAAAGTTTAGGGTGATTATATATTACCAAATTTTATATTTTTTGGTATTATACTAAAAGTAATTGATTAAAATAATTTATAATTGATCATGAAATGTTGTGATTGATCATTAATTATTTGAACGAATTGTAACTTCTCTTTTACAAATTATAAGTTTTATGATCGATTAAAATATTTTGAAATCAATGATGCTGATAACTTTCACCTCAAGGTCCTTTTTTTTTTTATAGGACGTGCAGACTTGCGTTTAGTCGTTGACTAGTCTTTCGAGCTCAACGACTAACAATTGTGGCTTAAGCTGATATAAAACATCTCTTTAAAGAATAAAGGTGATTATCTCTTATGTGGTGTAAAAAAAAATTGAACCTAAATATTTGGGTTATCAAATAATGTCTAACCACCAGAGATTCCTAATATGTGGTTTGGCATGATTGTTACTTTCTTTTCGAAAATAAGAAAATTGCATGACTTGTGTTTAGTGAATAGAGACATATTTATGTCGCTCAAATTAATAACTTTGCTTAGAATTAAAGGTAAAATCTAAAATATGAACCACGGCAAAGTCCTGAACCACGATGGTTACTTTCCGCTCAGGTCTAAACCGTGAATCAAAATGCCAAGTAGTCTAAATCTGATTAATCAGCCCCTCGTGGCTTGAGAGTGGTAGAAAAAGAAAGTGCAAGGAAAGAGGGAATTGGAAACACATAAAAGTCAAACCAGGAGTCAGGAGATCGTGCAACGAAGACCAATTCCGAGTGAGTCACCTTCCCATACATGAAAGACTGACCGGTTATCGCCGGTGAACATCGGAGTACCATCGGCTCACTGACACCGTCACTGGCGTACTGCTTCAGCGAAGGTTCTGGCTAGCTGCCTTACAGAAGACAAGTCTCTTCAGTCTTCACTCTCTTTTTAAAGAGGACCTTGCCTCCTGCATTGAATAAGTTCACATCTCTCCCACCTTCCACTACTCTCTGTCATCTTCTCAGGTACCTAATAAACAAAATGCCTTTTCGTCTCTTTCATTCCTCTTCTTCTATAGATTAATGAAATACAATGGATGCTTTTAGCTGATTTTAATTTGATTATGATATTATAGCATGGTTTCTTTCCTCTGATCATTCCTCTCTTTCACGCTTTGGGTTTTGTTATTTGCTGTTTCATTGATAAATCTTCCTTATTTTTCCCAAAAAGAGAGAGTATATATATCTATACCTATAACATGTTTAGGTTTCATATATTTGTATGCCTAATTATGAGAGTATGTTTGTGTATAAGTGTTAATTTTGTTTGCTGTGATCAGTTGTGGCGGTTATAGGGATTTGAGAAATTTGTTTTCAAATGATTTGATGCAGGGATCTTAATAGCTTTGGGCATATCTTAGTTGTTTTTCTCTCTAAATTCCCTTTACGATGACGGGGTATTGCTTCTCTTCTCCATGGTAGGGACCGTAGGGTAGGCTCAGTAAGGTCCTAGCTTTATAGACAGATTCTGTCTCTGGGTATTTTTCATATCTCTTTTTTGTTTTTTTTTGTGGATTTGCTTTAGGTGTTGTTAGTTTAACATAATTGGTATTTTGAATGTAGATTACTTCTCGTTCGTTGAGGTGTGGCTTCTATGCTCTATCACGCTGTTGATCTATGCTTGAACGTTTAAAGAATCCACTTATTTTCTACTTTTTAATTAGGTTGAGGCTTATTGGGGATGACTTTTACTTTGATTTATATAGGGTGTTTGAAGCATCCATGGTTATGGATCCACGCTTCAGTGAATTCTCTGATTCAGCAAATGGTTTCAATTTTGATGATGCCACCATTTTACCCAGTTTTGACAAGTCTCAGAACCTAACCGATGTATTTAAAATTCAAGATGACTCCTTCGATATCAGTTTCATGGATGTTCTTTCCCTTCCTACCAGTCCAGATTTTGGCACTAGTTTCACTTCCTCTTCAAGTGTGAGCTCGGAACTGAACTCCCCAGATGATCATGACTCCGATCCTGTGCTCAAATTCCTTAACCAGATATTGCTGGAAGAGAACATCGAGGAGAAACCCAGCATGTTCCACGATCCTTTGGCTCTACAAGCCACTGAGAAATCATTGTATGAGGTCCTTGGTGAGAAGTATCCTCCTTCACCCTACCATCCACCCTCAATATCCATTGACCAAAATGTTGAAAGCCCGGGGGATTATTTTGGAAGCTCCAGTGACACCACAAACAGCGGTAGTAGTGGTGGAACTTCCATTGATCCTCATAGGATTGTCGACCCTGGAGATTATATATTGTCCATGAGACAAAGTCATTCTTTGGAGTATCCTTTCCAGTCAAATTTGCAGACCATTTCACAGTGGTCATTTGGCACTGTAAACAGTTTCAGTGATGATGCTAAAAGCCAATGGGATTCTTCTGCTAGTCCTGATCTGGTTCCAAATATTTTCAGTGACAGGGAATCTATCTTACAGTTCAAGAAAGGGATGGAAGAAGCTAGCAAATTCCTTCCAAGTGGTAATCAATTAATAATAGATTTGGATAGGTACAACTTGCCTCTAGAAACGAGGGAAGCAGCTCCAGAGGTTGTAGTCAAGATGGAGAAGGACAAGAGGGATTATTCACCTGATGGCTCGAGGGGAAGGAAGCACCATCATCCGGGGAATAGTGATTTAGAAGAAGAGAGGAGTAGCAAGCAGTCAGCGGTTTATGTCGAAGAAGCCGAGTTATCAGAGGTGTTTGATAAAGTTCTCCTTTTTAATGATGAGATAGGGGTGCATGCGAGTTGCAATAGCGATACTGACAAAGAAGTGGAATCGCTAAATGGGCCGGTCAAGTCCCTACAGCAGAATGGACAACCACATGGATCTAGTGGTGGAAAGACACGTGGTAAGAAACAGGGCAATAAAATTGAAGCTGTGGATCTGAGGACTCTTTTGATTAACTGTGCACAATCTGTTGCTGCTGATGATCGCAGGACTGCATATGAACAACTAAAGCAGATTAGGCATCATTCTTCACCTTCCGGTGATGCTTATCAGCGGCTGGCCTATATCTTTGCTAACGGTCTTGAGGCACGTTTGGCTGGCACTGGAACACAGCGTTATGCAGCTCTTGCTTCCAACAAGAGGATTTCAGCAGCTGAGAAATTGAAAGCCTACCAGCTCTATTTTTCAGCCTGTCCATTCAAGAAGATTTCGATGTTCTTTGCAAACAAAATGATTTTTGATATGGCATCCAGCGCTTCAACGCTGCATATTGTAGACTTCGGTATCTCATATGGTTTCCAGTGGCCCATGGTTATCCAACACCTTCCAACCAGGCCTGGTGGCCCTCCAAAGCTTCGAATTACTGGAATAGAGCTTCCCCAACCTGGTTTCCGACCTTCTGAGTTACTTGAGGAGACAGGGCGTCGTCTGGCAAAGTATTGTGAGCGCTTCAATGTTCCCTTTGAGTATCATGCCATAGCAACGCAGAATTGGGAGACAATCAAAGTTGAGGATCTCAAGATTCGGAGCGGTGAGATGCTTGCTGTGAACTGTATGTTTCGATTTGGTAACCTTCTTGATGAGACAGTAGATGTAGACAGTCCAAGGGATGCTGTTCTAAAATTAATCAGGCAGATGAATCCAGATATTTTCATCCACGCTCTTACTAGTGGATCTTACAGTGCTCCCTTCTTTGTCACTCGGTTCCGGGAGGCGCTTTTTCACTACTCTTCATTGTTTGATATGTTCGAAACTAACATATCCCGTGACAATCAGCTGAGGATGGATTTTGAGCAAGAGTTTTACGGGCGCGAGGCCATGAATGTCATTGCATGTGAAGGCGCAGAGAGGGTTGAAAGGCCTGAGACATACAAGCAGTGGCAGGTTCGCACAATGAGGGCCGGTTTCAAGCCCCTTCCATTGGACCAGCATCTGTTGAAGAAATTGAGGGGTAAAGTGCAGGCGGGGTACCACCAAGATTTTGTTTTCGATGAAGATAGTTATTGGATGTTGCAGGGATGGAAAGGTCGAATTAGCTGTGCTAGCTCCTGTTGGGTACCTGCCTAGAACACCCTCTATTGCATTTTATGATATTGCATGGATATGGATATACACTCACTCACCCAACAAGCTCAAACGCATGAATGTTGATGTATGTGTATTCAATTTTGTATTACTTATGCTTAGACTAGATTAGCAATTCGACTCTCAAACTATAACACTAGTTTTAATTCAGTCCTTAAATTAAATTTATGTCTATATGTTTGAGTGTGGCCTAATTAATCATCATCATAAGCTAAACTCAGGAGAGCAGTCTGAATGTCGGGTATCACCCCGATTAATAAATGCTTTCAGCACTTTAGCCCAACCCACATACATATACCAGATTTGAAATTGGCAACCTCCCTCCCTCCCTCCCTAGTGAGGGGTGCAACTTTGAAATTGGCAACCCACTCTTACTTAACTCGGCTGTCAACCTAAGCTGTGAAAGTGAAACTCTCAACCTCAGTCCACCTGATGACCCAACATGAGTATAGTTCGAATTCAAATTGAATTGTGAGGCAAAGAGCACAATTGGGCCGGTCGGCATGTTACTTGGGCCAGAACATTGCTGGTAAACACCCTCCAAGGCAGGTCCCTGCCGGTTGGCTCCTCACACCCAATGCCACCGATGATTAGCCACCTCCGAGCCACTACAACCTCTCTCTGACCCATCTCTGCTAGGAGAGTCCTACTCGAATAGGGATCAATCTTAGATCTAGAGTCTTAGTACAATACTATTCTAAACAACTAGGAGCAAATGATAAAGACCTAGGAGCAAGTGTACTAGTCTAACTCTATCCCAAATAACTAGGGATTGATAATGAGGTCTATTTTATCACAACACAGAATTCGGGTTTATTTGGAACACAACTTCCTACGTAAATAATGGCCTCCGGGTACCAGGTAAGAGATTCAACCCTAACCTATTCACTGCATAATCTTCTTTGGCTTGCGATCTGACTTGAGCATTGGAGTCATTTTGGTCGCCTCAAGCCATCAGTTCACTTAANAATTCGGGTTTATTTGGAACACAACTTCCTACGTAAATAATGGCCTCCGGGTACCAGGTAAGAGATTCAACCCTAACCTATTCACTCCATAATCTTCTTTGGCTTGCGATCTGACTTGAGCATTAGAGTCATTTTGGTCGCCTCAAGCCATCAGTTCACTTACGTGTTCTTTTGTCTTGTTCGTTACTCATGACTTTCTCACCGTCCTCTCCATCCATACAAAGTGGTGAATTGAAATTATTCCCCCACATGAATTGATTTTTATTTTTCAAGCTCAATCTGAGTATGCATCTCTGTCTAATTGTTCAATTTCTTCGGGTTGAGATTGGCAGATTGGTCCAAGCTGCACCTTTATGTATGATGTAATAATAATGTTAGGGAACGTGTCTATTGGTGCCACTCTTGATCTCCCATCCTTTATATCGATCCAGGATTGTCCTATGGAGCGAGTGGGGAGCAGTACTTTAAACATTTATTTTTGAGCAAGCCCTAAACAATTGAAAAATCTCATTTATTATACTACTATTTGATGTAAGTATCCTTGAACAAAGCAAGCTCACCTCCCTAAATTTTTGAAAATCTAAAAGATTCTCTTCTTATGCTAAAATCCTGGATCTGTCCATCGACTGGATTTGCAATTTTTTGCTCATGTGAAATTAACAATGTGGATATGGTGTTCTTAACTGTTATAAATCAAGGCCACAAGTAAAGTAATAATATAATGAAATAAAAAAAAATTTAAAAAATTAATATGGTTCGGCTCAGCAGGTAAGTTTATGTCCACGAACGAAACACAGTAACAAGTTTTCAATATTAAAATTTGGACATTACAAGATCATTCTTGATAACAAGCAATTAGAGAATGTACATACTCACTCTATCACAATGTATAACTGTATGTATATTGCTCCCTGATGAGAACCCCAAAAAGAATAAAACTAGAACCACCCAACTGACAATGAAAGAATTCTTGTACAACACCTCACTACAACCTTCTGAACATGAGCTATATATTTTCTCTTGTCAGTACATCACAAGACCTCAAAGCGATGTTGAACAAAAGCATTCTTTGTCCTATTCAAGGTCAAATATGTGGAGATAAATTTTATCTCATGTAGGAGACGTGTTACACCATCCAATCATTCTTTGGCTTTGGAATATTTTAATTCTATAAACTCAAAATATGTTTCATGGATTGCCGATCAAATAGGATCCAAGCTACAGTGGGGATACAAGTCATATCAACAAATCTCCACCTTATCTTGTATTCCATCAAGTTATCCAATCAAATTGAAATTGACCATTGCCTTCGTCAAATACCCTGCAAGAAATTCAAATAGTGCAAACACCAATCACTGCTTGGACTTGAGCACTGATACTGATACCGACTTAATAAACATATCTGATGAGTTCTCCATTATGAAAGCTTTATTCACTGTGACAATACCTTGAACCATAACCTCACGAAGGAAGTGATGTCTAACATCAATGTGTTTAGTCTTTTCATGATACATTTGATTTTTGGTCACATGTATTGTACTTTGACTATCACAAAATATAGTAGTCACCTCCTCTTCCAAACCCAAGTCACAGAACAAACCTTTCAATCAAATTACTTCTTTAACTGCCTCTAATATTATCGTGTATTCTGCCTCTCTAGTAGACAAAACAATTATAAACTGTAGGATCGTCTTGCAAATTACAATACACCCAAAAAGAATAAAAACATAACATGTCAGAGATCTCGTATGTAGATCACCCACATAATCTGAATCAACATAACCAACAATTGTAAAATTAATATCATTTCTTCTACTAAAAACTAAGCCAACATCTGTAATGCCTCTCAAATATCAAATTATAAATTTCACAACATGCCAATATAAACCTTCCTAAGGTTAGCCCTGTACGGCTAACCATACTCATTGCCTATAAAATATCTAGACGAGTGAAAACCATAGCATACATGATGCTCCCAACTACATTATAATAAGGAACATAAGACATAAACTACTCCTCATTCTCACTTTGTAGTGATAAAGCTACTGAAAGCCTGTAGTAAGCCGCAAGTGGAGTACTCATGAGCTTTGAATTCTGCATCCCAAACTACTCAATACCTTTCTCAATATATTTCTTTTGAGACAAATTCAACGTACCTACTTTCCTATTCCTGTGAATCTCCATACCCAATTTTTTTTCCAGCACCCAAATGTTTCATCTTAAATTTTGAATTCAACTGTTTCTTCAACCTGTCAATCTCTAACATGTTTTTAGCAAAAATAAGCATATCATCTACATAAAGCAACAAATATATAAAATAAAAATCTAACAACTGCCTCTAATACACATAACTATCATAATTATTCATAGAATAACCATGATCTACCAAAAACAAGTGTCAAAATATTTGTACCACTACTTTGGATACTTTTTCAAATCATATAATATTTTTTTCAACAAGAAAACATGATCTTCTTTATCTTGAACAATAAATTCCTCTAGTTGATGTATAGATACTTTCCTCGAGCTCACCATGTAGAAAAAGTACATTTACATTAAGTTGCTCAAGTTTTAGATTGAGTGAAGCAACCATGACAAGCAATACACGAATAGAATTATGTTTCACAACTGGTGAGAAAACTTCATTAATATCCACACCATCTCTCTAACTGAATCTCTTTGTAACTAATCGTGTCTTGTACCTTGTAGATTCAACCTCTAGAATTCCTTCCTTTTTTCTTGAAGACCCATTTACAACCAACAACCTTCATGCCCTTAGACAATTTCATTAATTCTCAAGTCTGCTTATGAAGAGATTTGTTCAGTAATAGCAATGGCCCAATGTGCAAACTCACTACCTAAGACAACTTCTAGATATGTGGAAGGCTCTTGAACACCAATTTTCTTTGCCAAAGTAAATGCATAAGCCACCAAATCTGCATAACCATATTTCTAAAGGGGTCTCACTTGTCTCATCTCCCTGTCAGTTGCAATACTATACAACTGCTCCTCCTGTGGATCTTCACCAAAACTAGATACACGTAAATCAGTAATATATTCACCCGGAGTACTTTGAAGCTTCTACCTATTGCTCCACCTCCTTGCTATAACTCTATTCTTTCCCTACAGAAACAACAAACACCTTTCTCAGATAAAACATGGAAGATTCATCAAATACAACATTCCTACTGACTATAAATTTAGGTAATTTAGGATCAGAACACCACAATCTATATTATTTCACACCATTTACATAACCAATAAATATGAACTTTTTAGACCTTGGCTCAAGCTTTCCATTAGTCATATGACAATAAGCAGTTCAACCAAATATTTTCAAATTAGAATAATCAATATGAGTAGCAGACCATTCTTCAACTCAATAATAATGGATGAAGAACAATTAACCAAATAACAAGCAATGTTGAATGCCTCAGGCCAAAAATTCTTAAACAAACTTGCATTAGAGAGCATGCAACTTGTTCTCCCCAAAAGAATTCTATTGATCATATCTACAACCCCATTTTGCTGTGAAGTAGACCGGACAGTTCGATGCCTGACAATGCTTTCCTTTCTTCAAAACTTATTAAACTCACCTGCACAAAATTTCAAACCATTATCTATTTTGAGACACTTGACTTTCTTGCCTATCTATTTCTCAATCAAAATCTTCTATTGCTTGAAAGTCACAAAAACATCACGCTTGCATTTTATAAAATACACTCAAACCTTTCTTGAATAATCATCAATAAAAGTCAAAAGATACCGAGCGCCACCTTTAGATGGAACTTGAGAATGACTTTAAATGTATGAATAAATATAATCAATTGTACCTTTAGTTCTGTGAATAGCTATACTGAACTTGACTCTGTACTATTTTCTGAAGATACAATGCTCTTAAAAATCAAGCTTTCCAATTTTTTATTTCTCAAGCAAACCCTGTTTACACAAGACTATCATGCCCTTCTCGCTCATGTGGCCTAAACACATATGCCATAACTAGGTAGTATCATAATCTGAATTTTTTAAGATGAAACACCAATTGAACCAATCACAATATCATCTAAAGAACATAGAGAACATTAATTTTTTTTTTTTACCTTTTATCACAACTAGGGAAACTCTGCAAACTTTCATAACTCCACCTTCAACAGAAAACTTGTAAACAATGGAATCTAAAGTACCCAGAGA